TCCACAATACGTGTCGAGGCAAAGTAAGATAATCTCATTGCTTTATTTCTCTCTAGCTTGTTCAACTTTGTGTTCCATCATATACTGCTCCATATCATGGCAAGGGACTTCTTCAATCTCCCTTCAATCCTGCTGATAATGCCATAATTTCGGATCTTCACACGCCGCAAAAAAATGCCAGTCCCTTAAGGTCTGCTATAGAAACGCGCTATCATGCCAAGAATTCTTCTGAACGGGATACGCCTAGTTCCAAATTTTTGTATACTCACTCTCTCAATTTGGCATCTCTCTGCCCCCCTTTCCAATATCCACAGATCCCAGCTTTGGTAATACACTGTGTAACTGAAATCGCTGCAAGAGGCCTCGAGACACTTGGACTCTATCGAATGTCTGGATCTGAAAAGCAGGTGAAAGGTACTTATATTCAATCGTTTTTTTCCTAAGTCCTCAGACTTCGTATACGGTGCAATATACGTAACTTTTATTAATTCCATATTTTAGAGCTATTCGAAAAATTTTTAAAAAACCGCTCCACTCCGAGTCTAGCCCTCGTTGATGATATTCATGTGATTTGTGGATGCCTAAAGCTATTTCTACGTTCCTTGACCGAGCCCCTGGTGACAGTTCGTTTGCGCCACGAATTTGTCCGCGCAGGCGAATATTTGAATGCGCCAGGTGGAGACAGCGCAGCAGGAAATCAAATTGCTCTTGAAGCTATTGATTCGCTGCCTCCAGCCAATAAAGATACTCTCGCATTTATCCTGCTTCACCTCCAAGTTTGTTTTTTATTTCTTATATTCCTTACTACTCCCAAGATTTTCCTTATTCATATTTCTTCAATCCACTTGGTTTCTTTTTATGCCAGCTAAGTGATTTGTTACTGGAATTAGCCTTTAATACATTCAGATCCAATGATTCTTATTACTGTGAATAGAAGAGAATTTCTGGTCACCCTTTTTTCGCTTAAGGTGATAAGGGACTTAGTTTAATTTTCCCACAATTATGTGGGCGGTTCTTAGGATTGCATAGAATTTTACTTAGCCTTATCTCGAAGAAGCTATTTTATCTAGTGACTAATAGTTTATATCTCCCACAGGAAAGGCTTGACTTGACTTGCCTCGAAAGTTACGCCTGCCTTGTGACCCACTCTAACTCGTGGTTGTGGCGTAGTAGCAATATGTTTAAAGTATACGTCAAACTGCCATGATTCCACCCCCGTTTATAGGTGCTAATGAAACTCAGGCAAAGGCTATCCTTCAGCCGATCCTCAAAGAGAATGCTCTTAGAGGCAGGACTATGTGAAATTCAGTGCATTAGTCAGGCCTACTCATAAAATTACGAGATGATTCTGCCATTCATCCCTAATCCTCTTGCGCGACTTATGGTTACTATTTTTATTCACCATCTAGAAACCTATTTACTTAAGAAGAATTCTTGTCCATTGATTTACTTGCATTTATTAATTTGACGCTTCTCATAGCTTATTATCTTCAAATAGTTCAGTTATTAAACATGTTTTTAATATTTAATAAATTACGCCAACCATAGCCTCACTTTAAAGTTTTTTTCTTTATTAGCCTGCAAAGTTATTTGATTTACTTGCAATTTTCTCCTCGTTATGCTGGGAATTATTTCTCTGAATTTTACTGATCTCCGCTACATTAAATTTTTACATTGTTATTTTCTCTTTCTAACGTCCAGACGATAGCCACTTCTCCCCTTTGTCACATGGGTGTGGAGAATTTGGCTGTCATTTTCGGTCCAACTCTAATTGGTTATTCTAGTCAGGACAACCGCATTATGGAGACTGTATTAGAATCAACTCGGCAACGGGCGGTAATTTTGCTTGACTTATTTCTTAGTTCAATTAAGGTTGTGTAATACGTTTTTACTGATTATAAAATTATTTAGAGTTATCAACAAATCTATAAGAAATATGCCTATTTCAGTATTATTAAGGCGTTTATAGGATATCAATTGATTCTGCAAAATAAAGATAAATATTGTTTGATATTTTTATGCGCGATAAATATGCACTATCGAATAGTCATCGGAAACCATCAATATTACTCCTATTTATTCGAACCAATCGAG